GNGNGNGNGNGNGNGNGAGAGNGCGGNGNGNGTGAGNGGNGNGNGGAGGGGGGGGGGGGGGCGAAGACAAGAGGCTGCACTGGGTGGTGCCGTTGGATGTGCGACAAGGAGGCCGGGAGGGAACAAACAAGTGGGGCGACAGCGGGCTGAGTCGTACAGGCAAGGGCGTGTGTAGATGGTCGTGGGCGAGACAATCAAGAGGAGGGGTGTGTGCGACGGCCAACCCCCTCTGTCTCGAACCTCGTCGAGCGGCTCAATGAGCGTGGCGGGGCCAGATGGCCAGGGTACGTAGATGAGATGCTCGCTGAGATCCGTGACAGCAGCCGGGCTGCCGGCTAGCTAGACGGATGAGCAGCGCGCAAACACAAACAGCCAAGGGCCCGACGGAGCTCAGATGACAGGCTGGCTTGCCAAGGCGCGGCCGACGACTCCGAGGGCTGAGGAGTGAATGTACAGCAGGCTGGCCGCTGGGCTACGCCATCGATCCGGCAGCCGCTGCCGACCGACCACCTGCCCCGCTCTGAGACTTTCGCAGGAAAGGCAGACGTGCCGTGCGTCTGACCCGAGGACTCGGAGTAGAGTGAGGAGGTGGCGTCGGCGCCTGTGGACTGCTCGGGCGTTTTGCTCAGCGGCCGTACGCCGGCGTGCTGTGAAGCGAAGGCATGGAAGCTAGATGAGACGAAGTCGAGGGGCGGCAAAGGAGAGGCTGAGGATCGGTGTGGCGAGGCAGGAAGGAGGGACGTCGCTGGCTGCGCGGCCTTCAAGGCGACCAGGCCTCGTCGGTGCAGGCCCACTACCACCGTCGGTACAGGAGGGAGCACCCTGACTTCTAGCCGCTCCTCTACAGGTGCGCGCTGGCTCCCGACCTGACCAGGTGCCTGCTCCTTCGTGCTGTCTCGGCTCCTCCCTTGGCAGGCCAGGTCGGTCATAAAAGCTGCAGTACGTTTATGAACACGGCTGGCATCGGCGTCGGAGCAGTTCTTCTGCTCGCTCGCTCACTCGCGCCCAGGATCGAGGGGGCGACTCTCCCGCGTATGGCCTACCTGCTCGCCTGCTGTCTGAGCCTGGAAAGGTGAGACAAGGCAGGCGTTTGCTACGTAGTCGAGGGCGGCGGATCGCATAGGAAGCATGAAATTCGCGGCACCTGCCGCCCAGTGCCAGCGGCCACGAGAGCGAGCGAGCAGCAAACAGGACGCTGGCTGGACCCTCCCCGTTTCTTCTCTCAACGACGACGGGCGCCGCACCATCAGGCCCCTTTGTCACCTCGGTCCCGGTCGAGAGCGAGGAGGCAGGCGCAGTACGTACATCAACCCATGCAAGTCCTGGCCGGCCATGATGCTGAGTTCACCTCGACCAAGAAGGATTTTCCTAGTCGGACGAGAGGGCGGGAGCAAGAAGCAGGATATGATGTTGGCATGATGGGCGTGCAGCAAAGCAAGTTTTCATGGATGTCTCATCCAAACAAGCAAGCAGCGGCCAGCGCGGTAAACAGCAAACAACGTAACGGACACACAAACAGCGTAGCGGGCAGGAGAGCAGTCAGGTCGAGGAGGGGGATGAGCGGCTCAGCCACCAGAGGGCAGCCAGTAGTGTGAGGGAGGGTGAGTGCCAGAGCGCGCGGTGGTGGTTCAGGGGTTCGTCGTCGATGGGCACTGGCCGTCGGGTCACGCCGACGGTCGGTGCCATCGAGCCGGTCCGCTCGCTGCCTGCTGCTGCTGCTGCTGCACGCCTTGGCAAGCGATGGCCAAGTGCTCGAGTCGAGGGGGCTGGCTCACTACCGACCTCCGCCAGGCAGGCAGGCGCCCCTATGTCTCACATCGTGCCGCGTCGGAACCTCGTGTAAAGTGCAGCAGCTCGATCTGCTCCTCGCAGGAGGGCGGCCCCGAATGAACGACGTGGCCGCCCTGCACAGCCTTGCCAGCGAGATCCTTCCTCGCCGGCGTGACATGGCCGTTGCCTCTGTCCTCGCTGGCCAGCTTGTCACGATCCATCGCACTCAGACTTGATTCGGGACCGGCCCGACGCCCGATCACATGTACGTATGTGCCTGCTCCCAAGCTCTGACTGCGGCGCACGGTCGGAGATTTGTGCTGCGCCACCGACGTCGGACGACATCGTCGAGCCTCCTCGCCCGACGCTCCGATATGCCTATCTAAGTGAGGGCGGGAGCGCAGCAATGTCCGCTGCCCGTGCAGACATCGAGCGCGGTGTCGGACGAGCCAGGAGCGTTAGGCAGGGGGTGAGAGAAGGTATGGGTGGAACTCGGGCGCAGGCAGCCAACAACGGCCTATGCAGCCGAGACGACAAGATCTCGCGTTTTGCTCGCCGGTAACCTGCTGGCCCCGCCGCCGCCCGCCCCTTCGGATACCATTTCCCGCACGTCGTTGTCATGAAGCGGGGCAGCAACTGCACCGACCAGCATAACCAGGCGCCTCCAGACTTGGACGGTAACCTCTCCTGTAGCGCGATCTGGCGACCCTTGAACCTTGTTGAGGCCCCGTCAGGCCGTGGCTGCGACGGCAAAGGCGGCTCTAGTTACGTACGGACGTTGGGCCGCCCCTGCCATGGATGAAGCTGCCGATCCTTGCCGAGAGAAGATCTGCGTGGGGTTTGCGGCAGACGGCGCAGGGTTTTGAGGCGTCGCCGCGTGGGGATGGGGAAGCTTCCCTTCGCCGTGCGTCTGCCATCGGTACTGCTGGAGCAAAGCCCTGCTGCCGCAACGTTACGACAACCCTCCGTCCTTCGCTGCAAACTCTCGAGCCAGCTTGCCTTTCTTCACATAGGGGCTGCCGCGGGTTCCGTCAAAGAAGACTTTAGGATCGAGCTCGCCGCCGGTCGGCCGAACGAGGTGTGCAAATAAGCTAGGATTTGTGGCTGAGCAATCAATCAGGCCAATTGCAAAGGGAATGAGAATCAAATAAATCACCTGTGCAGGGAGGGATTCTTCGGATCGCAAAGGCTCACCGATCGAGGCAGGGGCTGTGTCGAGGCTGCCTTGGTGAGCTGTCCGGTACTCGCTCGCTCGTTTGAGCCGCCGACTAAGGCCGAGGGGTGACCTGGGGCCGACAATGTCTTGGAGCTCGGTGGGCCTCGGCCACCAGACCATCTGCACAGCAGAGACACAGGAACGCCCCTGGCGTGGCCAGCTTTTGCCTGGCAGGCCTGGCAGACCTGACCTGTCTTGCGCGGATTCGAAGCAAGGCGACGGGCTCAGCCTACGGCGGCTGTAGCTCGCAAAGTCGCTGCGAGACATCGTCACCTCCAAGGATATGTAAGACAGAGCTCTGTCTTGCTTGGAAAAAGGAGGCCCGGACGAGGCGTGCACACGCGCCCCTTGCCACTCACTCTGTGAGATGCAAGGAAATGGTCGCCTCGGCCATGGCCTGCCTCCCACCTAGCTGAGCGGTACATACAGTAGGTAAGTACCAGCAGCCGTGTGCCCCCGTGTCGACGGTGTGAGCTTGGCTTGGGCTGTCGCACCTTGTCTACATAAGCAAGCGGTGGGGGTTGGTGGCAAGGTCGTATCGTGGAGGACTGTATCAACGATGAGATATCGGACCATGCTCTCTGGCTCCATCGAAGAGTCGGCGCTTACCGGTACTGTGCCGGACGTCCTCTCAGCAGCGCTTGACGAACAACGTAACGCCGGGGTCTTGCCCACGTGGCAGGCACCCTTGGTGAAGTTGCACGGAGCGAGAAAGGGTCCTCGACGCATCAGCTGGCCATCATCCATCGGTCCACCGTTTCATGTCGTTGCTGGCCGAAGGCGAGGTCCATCTGTCCCATCGGAGGCTGGGGACGGTGTGTGCGGCGCAGACAAAGGGCTTGTCAGGCGAGGTCCAAAGGGAACGTCGAGAAAAACGGCGCGGTCAGCATCCACTTGCAGTTCCGGCTCGCGAGGTGCCTGATGGGCGCGCCATGATGACGGCGGCGATGGCGTCGGCGCCATAGGCCCGCTCAGCGGCCTCGTCTGGGGCCCGATTGCTCTGCCGAAGACGTGCAGCAGCCTCGATATCATCTGGCATCGTCTATGCGACTACTCCATGCTCCGCCGCCTGCGGGCTGCGCCGACGCCGGCGTCATGCCACGCGGAGTATGACATGGCATGCCATGGCATAGCATGGCATCGCAGCGCATCGCATGGCAGGCGGGAGCCTGTGCTCAAAGTTTCCCGAAGAGCCATCGTGCTGCGGAGCACGGCTCTGGGGAGGCGGTTTGGCAGGGCGGGGCAGGCTAGGGTCGATGTCCGGAGGAGAGGAGCCGGCTGGCGAGGGACGGTGATGGTGCTGGCAGGTCTCCTGACTCAGGCTTAATCAGCTGCGAGGCTGCCTTTTGGCAGGTGCCCGGCTCGGTTCCGAAAACTTGTTGAACTCCACTTGAACAAGCGTTTGCCCCTCTTCGAGCCTGCTCAGACCATCACCATCACCATCACCACCCCCCACGGCCGCCTCCGCCTCCGCCACTGCCGCCGCCACCCCGTTTTTCGTTCTCACTTTAGGATCGCAAACATCGCCGCCTTCTCAACCGGTCTTTCCGGCAGGTAGAGGTCGACCGCAGGAGGCTGGCTGACGAACCGGCCCATCTCTTTGGCCCAAAACTCCTCAGCGTGCTTGGACGGGACTGACATCGACATCGACCAAATCACGCACGACCGAACACGACACGACGCGGCGTGGCAAGCCGTACCCTGCGCCCTCTTCGATGCTCCGAGCGACGGACATCACCTTCTTTCGAGGTCCTTTCCCACGCATCCTCGGTCGGGCACGCTCCCAAGATGACATCGCCGAGCGAAGATCTCGAGACGCAGGTGGCTGGCCGCTTGGCCTCCGCCCTGGGCCTGGCTAATCCGAACAAGCTCCTTGCCAGTCGAGTCATTGCCCTGGCGCGAGATCTGCCAAGCGAAGCCGCCTTTCTCAGAGCGGCTAGAGCCTTTGGCCGCTTCGAAGATGCCCAGCTGGCTGCGCTGCGAGATTTGATCTGTTCAAGCAAGCCAGAAACCTCGTCGCCCGGGCAGGCGATGTTGGTTCCATCTGGCAGAGTCGCCGCCAGCGCTTCCGCCGATAGCAATGGTGGCAGCGCTAGTAGCATCGATACCCTCGAGCCAGAAGCGCCTCGAAGGGCTGGTCTCGTCACCGCCGGTGAGCGCCACGTCTTCAAGGCACCCACGTCGTCGAAGGCTTCGCTGTTGGGGCTTGACAGGCTTGCCGAGGCCAAGCGGCGTGACGACGCTGCTGCTGCCGCATCAAGATCCGGAAATGGCGGCGATAGTGTACCCTCCCGCAAGCGGGCGAAGCTCAGCTTCGACGACGACGAAAGCGGCACGGTGTCCGAACGCCGCCCGGCAGCCGAAGAGCCTCGCTTCAAGGTGCCTAGCCGCCCTGCCTCGGCGCTCCAGGCTCAGACTCGGCAGAAGGGCAACGAGACTCCCAGTCACAGCGGAGGACTTAGTGACACGGCGCGACAGCGGCTCGACGAAAGGCGGAGGGCGCGGGCGGCGGCTGCCAACACGCAGTCCGGTGCTCGTCCAGAGCAATCAGATGGCCGGGACATGTCCGAGTACCGCCAGCGTCTCAACCGCGATGTCCGCCAGCCTCTGCCGCAGCAGCCACGTCGGGATCAGGGGTACCCGAATGGAGGCCGCAACGGCGACGACCGAGCCGCTCCGGGTCGATCTCGAGAGCGGGAGCGGGAGCGGGACTCTGGCTGGGCCACGCCGTCATCGGGGCGTGGCGGCGGACGAGATCCGTGGGAAGCGACCCCACGCAGTGAGGCCAGACTGCCCGAAAGAAGCTGGGACTCGACGCCACGACCCGGCGACCGCCGAACGGATCGCTCCGGCTGGACACCGCGCCCTCCCAGATCGGATGAGTCGACCCGCACTCCTAGTACTGCACGCCGTACCTGGGACTCGACGCCTCGGGACTACGGACGCGGCCGAGGCTCTGGACCTCGAGGCGACGATGGAGGGCCGGAAGATGACGACGACCGCGCGACGCTGGCGGGTCGCGTCTGGGAGGACAGCGACGAAGGAGGGCGCGAGCTGGATCGGGACTGGTACAACATGGAGGAAGGCGGCATCGCGGGCGACGAAGACAGCAACCCCTTTGCCCAATACGAGGATATGGCAGGCCAGGTGGCCGCCCCGCTCGCGGCCAAGGTGCAGCGCACCAGCGCTCGCCAGGCGCAGTACAATGCCGACACCGACGCCTGGGAAAACAACCGGCTGCAGACCAGCGGCGTGGGTCCGCGGATGGCCGTGGACCTCGATCACGTCGACGACGAGGGCGAGAACCGCGTCCACCTGCTCGTCCACGACCTCAAGCCGCCCTTCTTGGACGGCAAGACGGTCTTCACCAAGCAGCTCGAGCCGGTCAACCCGGTCAAGGATGCCACGTCGGACATGGCCCAGTTTGCGCGCAAGGGCAGCCTGCTGGTCCGGGAGACGAGGGAGAAGGCGGAGCGCGCCAAGGCCGCCAGCAAGGTGGCGGCACTGGGCGGCACGACTCTGGGCAACATCATGGGCATCAAGGACGAGGAGGCGGCCGCCGATGCACAGGCGCAGGGCGGCGCAGGCGGACCGAACAATACGGCGCAGGCATCTGGGGCCAAAGGCAAAGGCCATGGCGACGGCGACGGCGATGACGGACGGGGCGACTCCAAGTTTGCCAGCCACCTCAAGACCAGCAAGGGCGGCTCCGAGTTCAGCCGCGGCAAGACGCTCAAGGAGCAGCGCCAGTTCCTGCCGGCGTTTGCTTGCCGCGAGGATCTGATGAAGATGATCCGCGAGAACCAGGTGGTAATTGTCGTAGGCGAGACGGGAAGCGGCAAGACGACACAGGTGGCCCAGTTCCTCCACGAGGAGGGCTACACCAAGTACGGCACGATTGGCTGCACGCAGCCCCGCCGCGTCGCCGCCATGAGCGTGGCTAAGCGCGTGTCCGAGGAGATGGAGGTGCCGCTGGGCGAGCTCGTGGGCTACTCGATCCGCTTCGAGGACTGCACCAGCGACAAGACGCGCATCAAGTACATGACCGACGGCGTGCTGCTGCGCGAGAGCCTCAACGAGGGCGACCTGGACCGGTACAGCGCCATCATCCTCGACGAGGCGCACGAGCGCTCGCTCAGCACCGACGTGCTCATGGGCCTGCTGAAAAAGATCCTCACCCGCCGCAGGGACCTCAAGCTCATCGTCACCTCGGCCACGATGAATGCCGACAAGTTTGCGAGCTTCTACGGCGGCGCGCCCAACTTCACCATCCCCGGACGCACCTTCCCCGTCGACGTCATGTTTAGCAAGACGCCATGCGACGACTACGTCGAGGGGGCGGTCAAGCAGGCGCTGTCGATCCACCTCTCGCACCCGGCGGGCGACATCCTCATCTTCATGACGGGCCAAGAGGACATCGAGGTGACGTGCGAGGTGATCCAGGAGCGGCTGTCGCAGCTCGACGAGGCGCCGCCGCTGCTGGTGCTGCCCATCTACTCGCAGATGCCCGCCGACCTGCAGGCCAAGATCTTTGACCCGTCCGACAATGGCGAGCGCAAGTGCATCGTGGCGACCAACATCGCCGAGACGTCGCTCACCGTCGACGGCATCATGTACGTCGTCGACGCCGGCTTCAGCAAGCTCAAGGTGTACAACCCCAAGGTCGGCATGGACTCGCTCCAGATCACGCCCATCAGCCAGGCCAATGCCAACCAGCGCTCGGGGCGCGCCGGACGCACGGGCAGCGGCACCGCCTACCGGCTCTATACCGAGATGGCGTACCGCAACGAGCTGTTTGCCAACACGATCCCCGAGATCCAGCGGACCAACCTGGCCAACACGGTGCTGCTGCTCAAGTCGCTGGGCGTCAAGGACCTGCTCGAGTTCGACTTTATGGACCCGCCGCCGCAGGACAACATCCTCAACAGCATGTACCAGCTGTGGGTGCTGGGCGCGCTCAACAACGTCGGCGACCTGACGCCGCTGGGCAAAAAGATGAGCGAGTTCCCCATGGAGCCGAGCCTGTCCAAGATCCTGATTGCCAGCGTCGAGTACGGCTGCTCGACCGAGGTGCTGACGATTGTCAGCATGCTGAGCGTGCCGTCGGTCTTTTACCGGCCAAAGGAGCGCCAGGAGGAGAGCGACGCGGCGCGCGAAAAGTTTTTTGTGGCCGAGAGCGACCACCTGACGCTGCTGCACGTCTACAACCAGTGGCGCTCCAACGGCTACCGCGACTCGTGGTGCGCGCGCCACTTTCTCCACGGCAAGATCCTGCGCAAGGCGCGCGAGGTGCGCACGCAGCTCGAGGACATTATGAAGTCGCAGCGGCTGGCGCTGGTGAGCTGCCAGACGGACTGGGACGTGGTGCGCAAGTGCATCTGCTCGGGCTACTTTCACCAGGCGGCGCGGTCGGCGGGCATCGGCGAGTACGCCAACTGCCGGACGGGCATGAAGATGCACCTGCACCCGACGTCGGCGCTGTACGGGCTCGGCTTCACGCCCGAGTACGTCGTGTACCACCAGGTGCTGCTGACGTCCAAGGAGATGATGAACACGGTGACGCAGGTCGACCCGCACTGGCTGGCCGAGCTGGGCGGCGCCTTCTACTCGATCAAGGAGCGCGACTCGACGTCGCTGGCCACGCGCCGCGGTCGCGACACGGAGCTCAACCGGCAGACGGAGATGGAGACGCAGTTCAAGCTGGACCGNATGCGCAGGGNGGCCCGGACGACGACGCGCGACGGTCCACGTCGACGCCAGTCCGCCGTCGGTCGCCCCGAGACGTCCGCCCGAGGCCCGGGCCGCCGG